ATGACTGGCCGTTCTGCATCTCGCATGTGACTTTTTGGAAAAAAATAACGCACTCTCTTGTGTTCATTTCTGTCTCAGCTAGAACTTCCCCTAAAGCTCAGCGACCTCCACAGTCGAGCAGGACAGCCCGCACCCCAAACTCACACACTCAGCCCACAGGTAGAAAAAGCAGTCAAATGATATCACCTGCTGTCAAAAAAAAAAACATTACTTACGGATTTTCTCCTTTTTGTTCTTGTAGCTACTCGCTCCCCTAAATCTGGCTCCTCCCAGGACACGCCTTATTTAGACACCTCTTCTGTCAACCTTCCTGTGCAGAGGTCATCTGGTCCAGCCCCTCTGTTCCCCGTGGATGGTAATGCATTAACCTCTAAACCCCTTAGAACTGTGGTGTTTCCCCCCCCCCCCCAATACTTTCCTGGGTTACCATACAGCAGTAAACAACACAAGATTGATGGTAGTATTAAAAAAAATGAAGCGTTGCCACTAATAAGTGAATCGTTTTTTTTCCCCTCTCACTGCAGTGAACGAGATCCTCGGTGCAGCTGCTAAAGAACGTTCAGCCGAGAGTCCCAGCATCGCAGAGGACAGCAAGTGTAGCAAAGGTTTGTGTGCAACGTCTAGAAACACGAAACACACGAAAGCCCAAGAGCAGTGCAAATGAATTTCAAGAATTTCACCTTTTTCCCGTTGACCTCTGTTTCCACTCTCACTGCAGCACCCTCAGTTCAGCACAGGTCACAGATTGAAGCACTGAGAAAATTTGGCAAGGAATTCAGGGTAAGACGAGTTCGTTTATTTATTTAGCCGAAGCGTGAAATTAGAAAACGTCTGACCAATCGAGAGGCCAAGTCCTGGGGCAATGTCATCCGACACATACCCTGGACGTCCTCCTGTACATTCCTGACCGTTCTTTACTGATGAAATGTATCCATTTTAATTGGCTTAACCAAGCATTTGGATTTTAAATGAATACATAACAATAACCACAACTGTTCTGTGTGGTTGGTAGAGGCATAAGGAGAATCTTGGTGGTGTGCACATTCCGCATGCCCCTCGACAGTAAAGAGCCCAATTTCGCGGTGCCCTTCCTTTTCTGCAGCACATGTCTGCACTCAAGATAATTTAACACACTCCTATTTTTTTTTTTTTTTCTCTCTTTTGCTCCAGCCGAGCGGCGGCCGGCCCCCCCTCTGTGCTCTT